AGTTATTCAATCAGCTTAATTATATGATTTGATCCTTCTAGTTATGTCATATATATACTATTGCAATGACACACTCTGAAATTTACAATGGCAATGTGTGTAGTTACATGACGAAAATCCACATAAACATTATCATATGAATAAAACGTTTTTGAAGAATTTGAGATGTAATTGTCGAGATCAACTGAATGACCTACGTGTTGTGTGCAGCAAGTACGAATCCGTAGGATTAGGATCTGATTATCGGAACATATGCTTGATAATTTTTAAAGTTTTGAATAAACTACAACACAAGTAACAGCTATGTGTGTATTGAAAAGATTCGAAATTCATTGCATATTGAAAACGAAAGCTTTAGGGTCTGCTTAAAAATCATGTTCTCGAGCATCATTTGAATGTTTCTGACACCCACGTTTATACTAACTACTGCTGATAGATAGCAAGTGCGAATTCAGTCTGTGCAGGTTTAATCTATACAATGGTCAATTCTTCATTGAGCAAACTTACTATTATAAACACGATAGCAGAAGACAACCGAATTAGAGCTAGTCGCTCTGTGAAACATGGAGACTAGGTGGAGTGTATATAACAAAACAGTTTGAAAGACGAAAATCAACTACACAATGAAACCAGTTATTATCGTTTAAAGCTTATTCTATGGTTTGATTTGATGTAGAAATATAGAAAACCTGTTAATATTCAACACAAGGCCATTTAATTCATTTTGAACAGAAATCTAATCGTGTTCGCAACTTGTGATTGTCTGGAATTCGTGCCAAACAAATCACCTAAACACTGATGGAATGACAAAGTGATAATACCCTTGTTGAAACGAGCTTACTAATTTACCGATTAACGGATTTTTTTCCACTTAAAATTAATGACCATCATCCTCCATCCCACCCAGTTCTGGGCTAACCTTTACACTTCTATCCAACTTTTGTTCGTTCATCTCATGTCTGTCTCTGTTTCTCGGCGTAACGTGTTCTTTGATATCCCTCCTTTATTTTGACCTTGAGGATTTCACGTGAGTGCTTGCTTGTGACGCAGTTGGGCGCTTACCTCTATGTGTCTCCTACTCACTTCCAGTGATTCTTCCTGATTTCTTTCTCATCTGGCATCCCGTTTATTCTCTCTCACAGTAGGTTGTTGCTGATAGGGTCTGGCCAACGGATCCAAAATATTTTGAGCAGACAAGTGTTAATAAACACATGTACCTTCTCGATGATCGCTTTTGAAGTTCTCCAAGTTTCCGTCTCATGCAGTAGAACTATTTTGACATTTGTATTAAAAATTCTGACCTGGGTTTTGATTGACAATTTTTTGAGTTCCGGATATTCTTGTAATTATGCTGTTCTTTCTTTGCTGATCCGCCCCTTCACATCTGCATCAGATCCATCGTGTTCGTTGATGATCTTCCAAAACATTTCCGTCAAATGTGATTCGTTTGTTGCATGCTGTGTTGCATCGGAGAATGTTGCATCTCCGTTTGTGTATATCGAGACTTATTAGTAGTGAGGATGCAGCTACACTGTTCATCTTCTTCTGCAACTGTTTTTGTGTGCGCGATAAAAGAGTCAGATAATTTGCGAAGTTTAGATTGTCCAGCTACATCCTAGCTGTCCAGTGTATCCCACTCTTTCCCATAAATGTTTGCGTCTTCATAATCCAGTAGATTACTGCGGAAGAGCAAAAGGGTGAGAGTAAACAAACTTGCCTGACTGCGATCTTTACCTCGAACGAGTCCGTCATCTGTCTTTTTGCAGTTCAATCTGTAACGCGGAATCGAGTCGCGGTTGACTATGATCACCACTACAAGCAGGGTGGCGTACCAAATATCAGATGGCAATTGAAGGTTGTAAGGTGTTGTATTGGTTGCCGATCTCGTGGTATTGTAAGAATACCAAGTTCGTGCCGAAGGAGTACGGGCGGAATCACTGAGCAAACGTAAGTTCGAGCAAAATCACAATCGACTGAAACATGAGTGTCTTTGGTACAGTTAAACAAACAAGTACCGTAAAAAAAATCACTGGTACAATTGGTTATAATAATAATTGTTTCCATTAAACCAGTCGCGTTCTCTTGATAAAAATAGGTCACTACAAATCCATCATAGGAATTCCTTATGATATTGACTATCCCCTCAGGCACGCCGTAATGTCGAAGAAGCTTACATGATGTTGTCCTATCCACTCTGTCAAATCCTTTCTCGTAGTCAATGAAGTTGATGTAGAGTGATGAATTCCATTAAACTGACTGTTTCACTATGATTTTTAGTGTAGTGGTTTGGTCTGTACACGATCAATTCTTACGGAATCCTGATGTTGGTTTTGGAGGTTGGCATACTTGGAGTCCTTCATTCTGTTTTACAATACCCTGTTTGAGTCTTTTCCTGGTATTGAGAGAAGTCTGATGCCCTTGTAGTTATCACAGTTACTGAGATCACCTTTCTTTGGTATTTTGATCAGAAGTCCTGTACTTATTCTTCATCCCAAATGTTGCCGAAGAGGATGTGGAGTTATATTCTAGTTACTGTTACACCTGCTTTCAGTACCTCCGATTGAATGTTGTCTGGTCCTGCTGCTTTGCCGCTCTGAAATGCCTGGAATCTGTTGCTGAGGTCTATCATGAATTTGTTGGATTTGGTAGTGTCTCAAAGAAAAGCAGTAATAAGCTTTTGTGCTATTGTCCGCACTGTTGTCCAATGCTTATTGACTTTCATGAAGTGTTGATCTGATGCTATATCACCTCCATTCTTGATTCGCACATCAGCCATCGTTCTCCTGAAAATTTTATCGATACGCATATGATCGTTTTGCTTCTGTATAATGTGGTCCAACGAAATCTATGTGGTTTTGTGTATGCGTTTAAGTGGGAATATGATGTCACCTATGAACATTTTGTTGAAGCCACATAGGTTTGCAAATCTTTTACCATCTTTGTTCCTTTCTCCATGTCGTCTCATAATATTTTCATATCCGGTGTTGACATTACCAACCTTGGAATTTATGTCTGCTATCAGAATGGTCGTCCTTTGTTGGACACTTCTAGAGGGTTGACTGCAGCCTATCGTAGAACTGATCTTTAACATTTTCATTTTAGTCGTTGGCAGGCGCACAGAATTAGAGAACGTTCATTGAAGTGCCCTCTTTCTTTGTTTTGAAGGAAGATTTGATGATAATTGGTCCTCGAGATTCCCATCCTATAAGCGCAATTTGTGCTTATTCTGATAGCGTCAATGCAACTCTCTGTGTATGTGGGGCATTTTTTCATGGACAAAGTATAACAGAAGCTCCTCTGAAGCTAGTCGCTGTCCAACTTGCGTCTGACGTGTTCCACTGATTCCAAGCACCTCCGGGTTGTAACTTCTCACTTACTCAGCAACTCGGAAAACTCTCCCGGTCTTTCCTACCGTACGACCATTTCGTGTACCTAAATAAATAGTTGCTCTGGTTGTCAGAAGAGCATGAGCCTCATGACTTCCGAAGGAACTCGGCATTCATCATGAGGCATCATAACTTTTCCAAATAAAGACCAACTGAATCACAGGGAAGAGTTTTAGTTGTTTGAATAAGTTTTCTGGTAAGCGTCTTTTTGGCAATTTTCCGAAGGGAGCGGTAGCTAAAGCCATGCTTAAACCTCCTTCTTTATCCGGGCTTGTGATCGGCCCATTTGGAATAAGTGAGCTAGAATGGGGTTGTCAGCAGTTTTAACTAAATCTTTGTTTAACCGCACTGAGATGTTCTCACAAGCCCAAATATAGAAATTCATGCAACATCTGCCAATAAGAATCGCTTCACAGGAGCAGATGAATTAATAGATACGGAAAAATTGGCTGTTATGGGCAATTTGTTTACTGGTCTCAGAATGATCACTGAACGTTTGGTTAAAATTTAATTGTAGTTTGCCGGCATTAGATGATCGTTGAATTGATATGCGTAACTTTGTTCTAAGCATTTCACTAGGTGCATCGCCTCTGAATTTTAAGCGTACTCGCAGAAGCGTTTGATTCCCAATTATGAATTTATTGTAGTCCCTTTTACTTCTTACATGTATAACAAGAAATGTCTATGGATAATCGTACTGTTTCAAGTTCGTGTAAAATGAATCTTTGCCTCTTCAAACGTACCCAGATAGCACATGTTGATGATTCCATGATGAAATGTTTTATTCATTTCTCTTCTACATTGTAGATGAACAAGAAAAAATATTACAGGGTAGTACGTACTTTAAAGCAGAATGAGGAGTTAAGTGAAGGAATCAGAATCTGACTGGAATAATTAGTCTATCAGATTTATCTTTGTACCTTCGACTATTCTTTCTCATTTTTGAAGACAATTACCTTGAACGCTGGCTTCATTTCCATATTACATTATTCACTAACACTTTGTTTATTCGGTAAATTACATGAATTAAACTGTGGTTTTCGCTTACCCCTGAGGTAAGATAACATTTGAATAATTTTCTGATGTACAAAAGCAGTCAACACGGATTAGAAAAGTTCATTATCAGTTTCACTAAATATTTCAACGTCACAGTCATACAAATCTGTACAAACGTTTGGGTATTCGATGCACTCTGAAGAGTCATATCATTAAACTGAACAGCAGTCCAACTGTTTTTAATTTTGAGTGAAGAATTACTTAAGTCTGTCTGTGATGTAAAGTACAAGAAAATGACGATTGATTTCTTCAATTTACTTGGATTGCATCACAATTTTATATTGCCCTTCATTTAAAAACCGATCAATCATCTGCTTGTGTGTGCGTGTGTGTAACTAGTGAACTCATGTTAATTTGATTAAGTTGCTCTTGATATAATTTCGTAATGATGTCATGCGTTAATGTCACGCACGACCACCATATGTAATCAGCTGATATTTGTATCACAGCCCCAACAACCATTATGAGTCTGATCGTATTTGTGATAACCTGATTGGTTGAAACTCATAATCTCGTTGTGAAATAAGAGTATAAAAGCGAACGAGTATGTGATCTTTTGAAGACACAATATATTCCACCCTAAGGGTAAGTTATTCAAATGTTCATTAGCTTAGTTAACGTACCACTGAAATATATGTTCACACTTCTGTATAATTTGTCAGTTAAAGAAACAGTTAAATATAACAAATCGTTGTGGTCGGCAACTCGTACAAGCTTTGTGAAATAAAAGTCATCATTATTTAGTGGAGTTCCATACAGGAGGTGGATGATGGAATTGCAATATTGAGTATCGACCGAAGTTGTGAGTGTGAACTTCGGAGTTTAGGTTGGTAATCTACGTAAAAAGGGCTTGAGCCGGAGAAGTCAATAATAGTGTACGTGTCGACAATCAATCGAAATTGTATGATTCGGTATTCAGGACTTCGTCACTATTGATAACAATTTGCATGTTTCTTCATCAAATATTTTTTCCTCTTCCTTGTTCAAATGTGTTCTTAAGGAATGCTGGACGTCACATTTCTGATATTCACGATCAGGGGAGTCAGTGTGGCCAATTTTGAGACTTCCATTTTAAATCGTATGGATTAGGTAATCATGTCAATATAATCGAAAATTTTCGGGTTAGGTCTAACACTATCGTGGTACTAAAACAGAAGTAGGCGATACTTTTGCATATTTTTCGAAATACTGTCGATTATATGGTGATATTTCATAATGGGTTTGGTTCCCATTATCTCACTGACGCAATCTGCTACGTGCATTCTATAAATAAAAGCAGTATTGAGTGAATGTCTGCAAGGTTGGTAAGTTTTTCCAGGATATACTGAAGGCTGACAATAACATTTAAATATGACATTCCTCCCACAGATATTATCAAACAACCTCATTTATATTTTTATTAAACATGAGAAACATGATATAGATACACTTCAGTTGATGGAGATCATGTGAACAAGCAATGAAACTCTGGAGCAAAATGTATATCAGCGATAGTTTTATCAAGATCTGGAATGAACTACGGAATCGCGGTAAACTTTACATGAACTTAAAATTCGGTCAATTGGATGCTATTTTTAAGGCTCCATTTTAGACTGAATGGTTACAATTCAACGGTTTAACCTTCGCGTAGCTAATCATCGTCATTCTTTAATATTGGTGATAAAAATCTAACTATCAGCACCGTACTTATTCGTGTTTACCTTTGAGGTAGTTTACTATAGTTTTAGTAAGAAACACTACCAAATCAATGCAAAGATTTTAAGAACGGAGCAGTGGTAATCAACACTACACTCTGTTTCAGTAATTTTATAGTTGACTGTGAAGTGATCGACAGCAAACTGATAAAAGCATGCTTTTGAAACAGTGATACAGATAAGGGTTTATATTAATTTACAGTAGGTAGCCTAGTGGCCATTAAATATGCCACATGATAGGCACGAACTAAAGAACAGCCACGGTGATTGAACGCTTCATCTATAGTGCACCGATTCAGTACTAAGTTAATATATAACAAAAAACTAGTCGCGATATTGCGCAACAGTCTCATCCTTTACTGATGTCATTTTTATAATCAAAAGTCAATTTATGTTTCGCGTTACTTGACCACTGATTGGGTACTTAACAGTGTCAGTGTTTAACGTTAGTCAGTCTACGATATTGCAAAACCGTCTCACACCATACTGATAACATATTTTTAATGTGAACTTCAATTATAATTTTATTTTACTTTACAGATAAATAGCTTAACTGAATTCTTATCTGTTTCATATCAGAATGGCAATTGGAAATATCTCCGTTATCGTGGCAATATTTACAACTCTATTACTCAACACTTGCAAAGCTATGAAGGAATATTCAGTAGAAACCATGATTTAGCCAATCTCACTATCTTCAACTTCATTGATTCTAACACCACTGCGTTCGAAAATTGGACTGAGATATCAGACGCAACTCTATTTGGAGGGCGATCTAAGGCTACACTCGTACGACTCAAAGGACAAGTAAATTTTATTTATATATATAATTCGGCCAACATGATGTGTAGAATTACCAATCAGCAATTTTCTGCTATCTTCTCACTCCACTAAAGAATGAATCAAGCTTTGCTGGAGTTGACAGGATAGTAGCTGATGATGTTTTGCCAGCATATGACGGTGTAATAATTGACCTACATAGACAGGGTTTACATTCCCATTTCAAATTGTTCTTCTATGGAAAAAGTCCGGATATACCATATGAAACGTTTTTCGAGGTAATATGAGATTTAATGATGTAGAATAATTCAATATGTTTTCTATGAAATGTTTATAGACGACTGGAAAACGACAAAAAATAAAATTACCATTTGGAAATTTTACATCGTGTCTTCCTGGAACACTTCAATATAATTCAGCCCTTTTACATGTATCTAATATATCACGTATCGGTATAAAAGCACATGAATGGAACAATCAATCTGGTCCGGGTGCCGTCGAAATATTCTCTATTTCAACATATAAGGAAAATCAAATGCCAGTTTAAATAAATCAAGCTCCCATGAATTTTAGACTAAATAACACAAAGTATTTGTTTATGCTAGAACTGATTTTGAGTTGAATTAAATAGCTTTAATAATAAATATCATAAATTTATCTGCGAGTTTTGAATGTTTTCATGGGTTTCTTGATATTCATATAAAAATCAATGAAGGCAAGTGGTGATGAAAGTCAGGTATGTGATTGAAAACGTATTCAGGTGATTGAGAACAATTTTTTGATACCTTATCACTGATCTTCGGGTGTTTAATACACATCGAAAAACGGTTTAATTTCAAGCTTCCAACTGCTTTACAAAATTTCAAGAACTCGAACTTCATTGAAAGAAATTCTTTTACACGAACTTAAGATCAGGTTGTACAGTCGTATACAGATATGAAGATCGTTTGTTGTAATACACGTCCCGTGAAAACATGCTAACTGTGAGTAATCATGATTACGTTGTCCGTTTATTGCAATACTAGATTACGTAGTACATGTAAAACAAAAAACTTGAAATGGTGGTAACGAATAACAATGCGAATGTAGTATGATTATTGTAATATTGTTATCAGTTTAAGTATAATAAATTTAACTACATAAGTATGTTAATTAAAAAACACAGGGAGGCTATCGATGAACTCAATAAAGACGAGAATTCGATTATCACGGTAACCGAATATAGAACTGCAAAATTCCAACATTACGAATTTTAATTCATTGGCAAAATGAGAAACATCTTGAATGATTATCAAAATCTTTGGAAACTGAATCTCCCATCCTGGTAGCTTTCTCATGATTCTTCTCAATGACCCGTCGATTCACCTTGTAAATAAAACGTCTAAAAGAGCTATCCTGTACGCATTTTCTTCCTTACATGTGAACTATTTGGACGTGAGAAATTCATTGAATCGCCCAAATGCATTTGTCGAAACAGTATGCTCATTACAAAGAATAAACTTATCGTCCATTAATCGTTAATAAGGAGAACATTTGTCACACTTTTGTGTCAGTGGATCGTTCTCTAATTAAGAGAAACATTTTCAGAAAAAATGGGTCCATATTGTGATCACCATCTATTTATCTATACATTTCATCATCGAATTTGAATTATACTAATGAGTCGGCTTCCGGAGAACTTCAACTTCATTCGACAAGACCTATCATATACGTTCTCAGTACATTTTGGTAATAATTTTTTGATGCGACTCACAAGGATTGAATTCTTCGTCCCTTGTTCCCCATGTTGTTTCCAATAAGTTTCCACAATTTCTCTGAGATGTACCTTTGTGAATAATGACATCACTTCTGAGGACCTCACTATTTCAGCTCGTTCTGTGAGAAAATACGAACAAGGAATAACCAAGCTGTTATAATAGAAAGGCCTTATTTCTGGTTGTAAATACTAATATAGATAATAACAGTAGAAGACGTCGGAGGTAGAATAGCCTTTCCAGTCGTTCTGCTTACGAAGAGAAACGACGCTACATTAAGAAGAAACATAAAAAAACTAATTTGACGAGTGATTCAGTATCATAAACGTTTGTAGATCATTCAAGATGTGATTCATCTTGTCAATGTAATCATTTTTGTCATGTAGAAAAATTTCCGTTCTTTTGTCAGCTTTTGTCATGATCAAATTCTTGTGATTATTGAGTTAATTGATACTCTTCTTGTGTATTTTAGTTAAAACACTTCTAATATGATGTTTACTATTCTGTTAAGTCCCGATAAGCCTGATGAATAGTAACTTTGGACTCCAATTATGGACAAATACCAAACGTATATAACTAAAGTATCCATATTCATACTAATCTTATTTTAGGCTTTACTTTGACCTATGTGCCATTGTTACACGTCTTATCATTCTTGAATTATGTCCTGTCTATTAGTCACTGCCTCCCACATTCACAGACACATTTGGCCAAATCTTGTACAAATGTTGTTTTCTATTTTATGGTACGTTGCGGTCTGTTTGATTGGTATATAAACCGAGTATGCTTGAAATACATGGTTCACATTGCAGAGGCTGAGGTTGGTGTTCTGGACTTAACTGGCTGGACTAGACAGAAATCAGGACCGATTAGGACTCTAGGCTGCTCGTACATGTTTACGCGTTCTTGGTCCGATCGATAATCCACTGCCCTCTGATTGGTGGTATTATTAAGTTATCCATTGACAGGGCAGTCAGGCTTCAAGTTAAAGAACTGGCGACGGAGTAAAAATAATACGATCCAAAATCAGCCTGTAATAAGACGAAATTCAGTTTTCAATTTTTTCGAGAAATCAGCATCCAGATTTGTCATCAATGAACTTGGAAGATACTGGTTGTTATTTCTTCACACAGTATTTTTCATTACCGCTGCTTATTCAAAAAAACGACTCTGCCTTCCGATCGATTTGAAGTGCTTTTTTAGCGACAGTTGGAGTTCTTAATCAAATTACGCACACAGCTGCGGAATCACTCATGCTTTCGAAATGCGACGGAAGTGAATGAATTAATTTTTCTCAATTGCACACTGAGCTGGGAATTGATTGCAGCCTCCATGAATCCTCGACAAACCGTACTTTAAGTGAAACAGCGGTCATTCAAGATCCGCCCAGTGGTCCAGTACTCTGCATTTCAGAAACATGCCCTGCAATGGATTCATACTCCATTATCCCTAAAACAGAATGTGCACACATTGGTTTATCCTTCTCACAGAAAGATTCCCTATTATATGTTTATGAAGTTGTCACGGTAATCGCAGTCGAAGAAACAAAAAACAAACCAAGCAGTACACTGACTGTAGCTGCTCCAGATGGATCTAATGATTCTGCGACAGAAGTTTTTGACGAATCTAATTACCGAGATTCCATTTTACCAGAAATTATATCGGATGCATCAAATGATAATCAACACCTGGTGGAGTTTTGATGGTCGCTGATTATCATTGTGATTCACTATCTACCAGTGATGTTCCCAATAAAGTCGGTCACAATATTTCAGAAGAATCAAACTTCAATTACCCATATCAAGCGACGTTTAGCCCCACCACTTAGTCACTTTCAGTCGATTCTCTGTTCAGTGCGCCAAACATGTTTTAAACGAATTCAAATTAATTCTAACTTGGAAATGCCAATTCGGAACCGACTCATTAAACTTCCTGGGACACATTATAGATGCTCAAGGCATTCGACCACTTAGGACCAAAGTGGCGGCCATTCTGGATTACCCAGAACCGACCAGCGTCAAACAATTACGAACGTTTAACGGCCTGGTTAGTTTCTATAGACGTTTCATACCAAAATGCGCATTACTTATGAGACCTCCTACCGACCAACTTCGTGGAAATGCGAAATCCATTAATTTGGACGACACCGCAAGTAAAGCATTCTCCACAGTTAAGGAACTGATCGCTAAAGCAACAATGCTCACACATTACGACACCGAAGCACCCATTAGTATCGCAGTAGACGCATCCGACTCGGTAATCGGAGAAGTCTTACAACAATGAGTTAACAACTCCTGGCAACCCCTGGCATTTTTCTCTAAAAGGTTGCTAGACAACGAATTGAGGTACAGCACACTCGGTAGGGAACTCCTAGCTATGTATTGTGCTGTACGGCATTTCCAGCAATTTTATTTTCGAATATCAACCACGGATCTTTAAAAAAAAGGGAAATGTGTTAGGTTCCGATAAGCATAATGAATGGTAACTATGGGATCCATCTATAAAACAATACTATACTTATATTTTTACCGTATAATTGTTAGGTAACCAAACTATTCATATTCATACTCCTCTTATTATAGACTTTATTTTGAACCATCTTACGACATTCACGTTATACTTTTTTACTAATTTATAAAATCTAATGTTGTTATTCTTATTAGTCTTCATATCAAATATTATAGTCATTCTGTTATATGATCTTAGTTATTTATTGGTCACATTTACTCACGAAACCAGAAGTTTAAGGAAAATTTTTCTTCATACGGATACATATGATTGTACAGCTTGATAGTAAGTTCGTTGAAAAGAGTCCTCTTCGTTGAACTTCGTATTCCTGATGTTTGAATGAGAATTATTTCTTATTTGACAAATTAGTTAGCTGATTTAAACAATGTAAATCTCTACCTGGTCAGGACTAAATACTTACATGCTAATCACTTCGCAGTAGTATAGACGGGAGTGTCTGAAATATTCAAATGATACTTGAGAATATAATTATTAGGCTAATCCTAGAGCTTTCGTTTTCGATATGTATTGAGCTTCGAATTATTCAAGTACACCCATAACAGTTAGTAATACTTTAGTTTATACATAATGTAAAGGGTATCAAATAAGTGTCCCGATAACCAGGTGCTAATATAACTGCTTCCTACTTGTTTGATACGACCAGCAAGCTATTCACTTGATCTCGACAATTACATTACACATTCTTCAAAATTTTTTATTCCCATGATAATAATTATGTGGATTTTTAAATGCATCAATCCATTAGTACGTGTGTGATATAATACGACAAGAAATCAAATGGATCACATCATACAAGTAATAATAATAACGTATTCTCAAATGACAGTTTGTTACATGAGGCATGCCAGTTTACAGGCAAGATCAAATTGATTCATGAAAGTTGCATTTGTAGCAGTATCAAAAACCATCACGTGTGACTTTACTAATGCAAGTTTGTTTTCCTTGTTCCAGGGCAACAGAAAGTGAACGTACTAGAGTTAGAAGAACAAGCCTTGTGCAAGTTAAGCCTGCGGGATAATGAGTAAAACCATTTTGTATTAGACTTCCCGTTTTTGTACTTGAACCACGTGATTCAGTTTTGAAATATATCAATGTTGTGCTCGTACGCTGTGTTCTCACTTGAGTAGCATCTGTCGGTTCAGGCTGTTGTGTTGTTTTTCAGATCGCTCCTGCTCTCAAATCAACGCTAATAGTACGTGCTATACGTTGCAACTGATGGTCAAGGATAGGTCCATTGAAGGTGGGAGCCTCTAAAAGTCACAACCTTATGTGCCTTTAGAATGTTTATGGCTTTTAGGACGCTGCAGGATGAAATCTTTTGTTCCATATTATAAGGGGGCTGAAAAAGGGAGCAAGTGAAAGAAAGGACGAGAGGCAGAGTAGTCAATATTAATGAACCTTCAATAATATTGACTACAAAGGCTGGTACCACGAAGTTTGCACAAACTTAACGCCTGTAGCTTTCAAACGGTTCAGTAGGAAGGGTTGCGTATGGCTTTGTCAACAGTGCTGCTCGGATGCAAACAGCTAGTTAACCGAGGCCATCTCACTGGTTGATGCTGCAAAGAAGTGTTTTAGCAAACATAGTCGGAACACGTCAAACAACACTCGATCTGAAAAATCGAAAGCTGATCATAGCGACAGATCAGCTATTTTTCATAGAATCAAGGAGAACGAGAGCTCTGAACCTAAAGCTTGTTTTGAGCATGACATTGTACTGATTAGGCAGCTGCTTAATCAACTCATGCCTCAAAATATGACCGGGGTCACCTTGCTAAAGGTGAACAGACTAGAGAGTCTAGCGGACTAGAAACCAAATCATTCCAGACTGCTTAAAGTAGTATTCAGCTCTTCGAACGAACGTGACCTAATTTTACAGAATGGACACAAATTAATTGGTTCGGGTGTCTTTATCCGAAAGAACCAACCGTTTGCAGACTGTGGTAAAAGACGGGAAGCCGAGAAAGAACTACAACTTAGGCTAGGCTCTGGCGAAAAGGACTTGAAAATTGTAAATTTTCTGGTTGTAAGACTTCGACAGAGAATGATGCCGAAGCCACTCTGGGTGAAGCACGAAGGCCCTTAAACAGGCTTCGGATTTGTTACACCAATGCTTGAAGCTTAATTAATAAGCGATCGGAACTAGGTGTACAGATTGACTCTACAAAGCCAGACATAATCGCAGTGACAGAAACCTGGTTGACACAGGCTATGGATAGTATGGAACTTGATTACGAGGGTTTTACGTTAGTAAGGTCTGACAGAACACAAAAGCGCAAAGGAGGGGGAGTAGCTGTATTCATTAGGAATGCTATCGTATTTGCCATTATTGATAGTGTATCCCATGAGACTGGGACGTGTGAATTAGCTAGTTGCCGCTTGAAATGCAAGGGACAAGAGCTGCTGATTTGTTTGGTCTATCACAGTCCAAGCTGTGTGGCAAATGAGATCCTGTTAAGCAGTCTCAATACTTGGTATCAGAGTGGTCGACGTCTAATCCTAGGGGACTTTAATGCACCTTTGGTAGACTGGAAAAATCTGCGAACTAAATCGTCGGAGATTTCCTTCGACCAGGAACTAGTTGATGTAGTTATCACATGTGCCCTAGTGCAGCATGTGAAAGAAGCGACAAGGTACGATTCGGACACTGAATCATCTTTATTAGATCTTATACTGACTCACTATGAGGATGATGTAGCTAACCTCCATCCTACGACACCCCTAGGTAAAAGTGATCACGCAGTTTTAACTTTCGACTTCCACATAACTGCCAGTCACGAGCACGCGTCAGTCTAGTCCATATCTAACGTCTGGAAAGCAAACATACCAGACATCATGCACACAGCATCGTCAATAGATTAGACAATAGACACAAAGTCCTCAATTGAAACGGCCTGGGACGCATTTCGAAATTCATACTTAAAAGTTACCACACCTCACATCCATTGGACTATATCAAAGGGGCCGAAAAACTAAACAACATGGCTCAGTAGGGAGGTCCGTATCCGTGGGATAGATTTAGGTTACTGGGGACTGATGAGTCAAAATCTCAGTATCGAAAGGCTCGGAATACTTGTGCCTCGACCCTCCGTATGTCTAGAAAGTTGTACGAAGGAAAACTTGTTAAGGAATCCATAGAATGTCCTAAACGCTTGTATTCCTTTATAAACCAAAGGACAAGGAGAAAAGGAAATATTCCTGCTCTATGAGAAGATAGTACTGCTTCATCATTAGTGTAAGACGACTTTGGTAAAGCTCAAGTGTTCTCGAACTACTTGAGCGACGTATATACCATAGAAGCGCCCTTCCCGTCAGCGTATACAGATCCCTCAAACATACACTGGATAGCGTGACCATTAAAGAACTCGATGTCTTTGGTCTGCTAAATAAGCTTGATATAGGTAAATTCACGGTGCCCGATGAATTACATCCTAGGCTACTGAAGGAATTATCTAACTTCGTTGCAAGCCCTCTAAGTACATGCTTTAACCTATCCGTAACTCAGGGTCGTTTACCAAAAGACTGGAAAAACGCCATAGTAAGTCCTGTCTTCAAAACAGGTACGAAACACAAACCTCGGAATTACCGCCTCGTTGGCCTAACTAGTGTGGTTGTTAAAATCTTAGAAAAGATTATTCGGAAGGAGATGTTTAAGTATCTCGATAAAAATCGGATCCCTTCAGAGAAGCAGCACGGTTTCAGAATAGGTTACTCTTGTCTCACTAACTTATTAGTGGCTCGTGAAAGCTGGTGCGCTTTTAAGGACCAAAAGTTACCTGTTGACGTAGCCTTCATTGACGCATTTCTAAATACATACCACACCCCACTTCCCTTGGACTATATCAAAGAGGCCGAGAAACTCCCCACCATGGTTCAGTAGGGAGGTCCGTATCCTTTTCCGTAAGAAAAGGAAAATGTGGAATAGATTTAGGTTACTGTGGACTGATGAGACAAAATCTCAGTATCGAAAGGCTCGGAATACTTGTGCCTCGACCCTCCGTAAGTCTAGAAAGTTGTACGAAGGAAAACTTGTTAAGGAATCCATAGAATGTCCTAAACGCTTGTATTCCTTTATAAACCAAAGGACAAGGAGAAAAGGAAATATTCCTGCTCTATGAGAAGATAGTACTGCTTCATCATCAGTGTAAGACGACTTTGGTAAAGCTCAAGTGTTCTCGAACTACTTTAGCGACGTATATACCATAGAAGCGCCCTTCCCGTCAGCGTATACAGATCCCTCAAACATACACTGGATAGCGTGACCATTAAAGAACTCGATGTCTTTGGTCTGCTAAATAAGCTTGATATAGGTAAATTCACGGTGCCCGATGAATTACATCCTAGGCTACTGAAGGAATTATCTAACTTCGTTGCAAGCCCTCTAAGTACATGCTTTAACCTATCCGTAACTCAGGGTCGTTTACCAAAAGACTGGAAAAACGCCATAGTAAGTCCTGTCTTCAAAACAGGTACGAAACACAAACCTCGGAATTACCGCCCCGTTGGCCTAACTAGTGTGGTTGTTAAAATCTTAGAAAAGATTATTCGGAAGGAGATGTTTAAGTATCTCGATAAAAATCGGATCCTTTCAGAGAAGCAGCACGGTTTCAGAATAGGTTACTCTTGTCTCACTAACTTATTAGTGGCTCGTGAAAGCTGGTGCGCTTTTAAGGACCAAAAGTTACCTGTTGACGTAGCCTTCATTGACGCATTTCTAAATACATACCACACCCCACTTCCCTTGGACTATATCAAAGAGGCCGAGAAACTCCCCACCATGGTTCAGTAGGGAGGTCCGTATCCTTTTCCGTAAGAAAAGGAAAATGTGGAATAGATTTAGGTTACTGTGGACTGATGAGACAAAATCTCAGTATCGAAAGGCTCGGAATACTTGTGCCTCGACCCTCCGTAAGTCTAGAAAGTTGTACGAAGGAAAACTTGTTAAGGAATCCATAGAATGTCCTAAACGCTTGTATTCCTTTATAAACCAAAGGACAAGGAGAAAAGGAAATATTCCTGCTCTATGAGAAGATAGTACTGCTTCATCATCAGTGTAAGACGACTTTGGTAAAGCTCAAGTGTTCTCGAACTACTTGAGCGACGTATATACCATAGAAGCGCCCTTCCCGTCAGCGTATACAGATCCCTCAAACATACACTGGATAGCGTG